ACGGTCCGCGCCCCACGCTAGACCGACCTGCGCGGGTGGGAGAAGGCTGAGCCGCTTGGAAACCCGCTGAAGGAAAGCCGGGCAGGTCCCAGCTTCCAGCTAGGTTTTCTTTGCTCTTTTTTTTTTTTTTAGATGCGCTGCTGTTCCCGTAGAGACTCTGTTGCTTCCCCTCAGACCTATGTGACTCTGGTGGAAGGATCATGACCGAAGTCCTCTTCTCTGCTGCTTTGAATGGAACTGAACCCAACCTATTATCCAGCAGCGGCTGGTCTGCGGGAAACGCCACCACCAAGTGTTCCCTGACCAAAACCGGCTTCCAGTTCTATTACCTGCCCACCGTCTACATTCTGGTCTTCATCACTGGGTTTTTGGGCAACAGCGTGGCCATCTGGATGTTTGTCTTCCACATGAGGCCTTGGAGCGGCATCTCGGTTTACATGTTCAACTTGGCCCTGGCCGATTTCTTGTATGTCTTGACTCTGCCCGCCCTCATCTTTTACTACTTCAATAAAACAGACTGGATCTTCGGCGATATCATGTGCAAGCTGCAGAGGTTCATCTTCCACGTGAACCTGTACGGCAGCATTTTGTTTCTAACGTGCATAAGTGTGCACAGGTACACGGGAGTGGTGCACCCCTTGAAGTCGCTGGGGAGGCTGAAGAAGAAGAACGCGGTGTACGTCAGCACCCTGGTCTGGGTCATTGTGGTGGCCGTGATTTCTCCCATACTCTTCTACTCGGGAACGGGGATAAGGAGAAATAAAACCACGACGTGCTACGACACGACAGCTGATGATTACCTGAGAAGTTACTTCATTTACAGCATGTGCACCACCGTGCTGATGTTCTGCATCCCATTCATACTGATTCTTGGTTGCTATGGGCTCATCGTGAAAGCTTTGATTTACAAAGATTTGGACAATTCTCCTCTCAGGAGAAAGTCGATTTACCTGGTTATTATTGTGTTGACGGTCTTTGCTGTGTCTTACCTTCCCTTCCACGTGATGAAGACCTTAAATCTAAGAGCCAGAGTGGATTTTCAGACTCCACAAATGTGTGCCTTCAACGATAAGGTTTATGCCACTTACCAAGTGACGAGGGGTCTGGCCAGCCTCAACAGCTGCGTCGACCCCATTCTTTATTTCCTGGCAGGCGATACCTTTCGAAGGCGGCTTTCCAGGGCGACCAGGAAATCGTCCAGAAGAAGTGAACACAACGTGCAGTCCAAAAGCGAGGAAATGACTCTCAATATTTTATCAGACTACAAACAGAACGGAGATACCAGTTTGTGAACAAATGCGAAAGATTTCGGAACAGTTTGAAAAAATCCTCCGCTTTGAGACAGTAGGATACTGTAGTGCTACAAGTGCGTGAGGAAAATCTACCAGTCTCTCAAATTCGCTTTAGGTAAAGCCTCATTTTCTGATCTTAGAAAAAGCCTAACAAAGTCAGTGGAAGATTTTTAATGGAAAATAACGTGTCAAAATTCAGCTTTCCTTCTCCTTACAATATTCTCATTTCTTTCTGACTTGTGTCAGATAAAGTAAAATGAAGTAAATCCCCTGAAGGAAGAAAGCGATCCAAGTGCTTCTGTTTTAATGACTTAGTCTCCCACGTTCAAAAATGTTCTCAATCAGCCTCTCTTTAAAAATAGGAAATAAAAATAAGAGCGAGCAGTATCTTCTCGTCTGAGGCTCAGTCCACATGCCTAGCCTTTCGCTCACTTGCCGTTGTAAACAAGTATTTAAATCAAAGTCACGATGCAGTTATCTCACCTTTGCAGTTTTATTACTTCTTCATCTACTTCTAGTGTTGATAATTATTTGGTAGTTCGGTAGCATTTATGATTCAGTCTTCTTTGAGTGCCGGTGTTTTACAAAAGGTAGGCTTACTGATGTGTGCATGATTATGCTTTCAGATTACGATGGTTGTTCATGAAAAATCTGGACCCCCTTTAAAGGCAATTGGCTTCCAGGTGAACTGACACCTCAGCCCCTGGCAGACAGATAAGCAGGTCGCTCTAGGAGCTGGTGCAAGCAGGCGCCTGCTTTGCACGTGCACGTAGCGGTGCGTTTCGTGAACAGATGTCGGCGGGCGAACGCGTGCGGAGGCGATTTGGTTCTGAGCGGCCGGCGGTCCGATCCTGCCTTCCGTGCTGAGGAGGACCGGCGCGTCGCCAGCCGGAGGAGCGGCGGGACAGGGCTGAGCACGGACTGGGCTCGCCTGGGGAGTGCCTGCGCCAGCTCTGCGGAGCTGGGGGCGAGACGCCCGTCCCAAAGGCTGACCCGCATCGCGCCGCGGCGCGGACGCCTGACTGCCGGCGTTGGGAGCCTTGCTGGAGTTCTTTACGGGTAAAACGTGAGACACGTGTGTGCTGGAAATAACTGTACCTTTCAGACAAGTAAAACTACAGTTGCTCGAGTTACCTGCATTTTCGTTTGGTACAGAAATGTGTCTGTTCCTGGCAACCTTTAGAGGCAACGTAAGAGTTGTTTCCCAAGAAAATAATCGTTACGATGGATAATATAAATGGATTATATATAATATATACATATAAAAAATAATTGGGGGAATTAATTTTTTTGTACTGTGACAAATAAATTACTGTATTAACGAGATATTGCGATATACTACAGACTAAATCCGGCCCTTTATTATATATCTTCTCCAAATGTGGAACAGGTCATGCAAAATTAGCCAAACTGCAATATTGTGTAACACAAGAGCTAGTGATGAGAGCACAGACGAAATCTCACATGAGCAGTCTTACTCATTTCTCATATTTTTAAGAAATGTATTTGAAAATATTGTGTGCTAAAAATGGTATGAAAGCATGCTCTAAATTATAAATTTAGTGTACAAAATTAAGTTCTATGTAATCCTAAGGGTGATTTTAACAAATCTTCATTCCTCCAGTCTTCATAGTAAAAGTAAAATATTTATATATTTTACTTACTAATTTCCAGTGATTGGTAACAACAAGAATAGCTCTAGTTATTTTTTGACAACATTGTAAAGCAGCTTCTGTTCACACGTACAGCTTCTTAATCTGCCAAGTCCCTATTTATTGAACTTATTTATTAGAAAGCTAAATGTAAAGTACGTAAAGTGTGGTTCTCCGTGTTCATATTCAGAATTGGGCATTAATGGAAAATTTAACAGCATGTTTCAATCACTGTAATACTGTGTCTTCTAACAGAACATCTTTGTAATAAACTCAATTCCACCCTGACTATTCACTGTTGATATGTAACCTAGTGATAAATTAAACTACTGATTTATAGCCTAGAGATAAATTAAACTACTGCTTAGGAAGCATAGCTTCTTAAGGCAATATTAAGATCTCATTTAGCCCTATAAGATGAAAAATGTAGAGGTAGTGAAGAAATCCCAACCAAGGGTCAATTGCTAATTAATCCCTACTGACAAAAGACTGTGGAACAGCACAGCCTATTTATATCACAGGAGAATGAGCCTGATTCACAATAAATGACTTCTCCTATTATGTGATTATTTGAGACTTCATTCAGCTGAGGCGTGTCTTGTTTGGAATGGCAGAGGAATTAAATGGAGAGAGTGCATAAAAATAGGATATTCTCTGAATCTGCTTCTCTAGGTTTAAAATCGTGTTAATTTCCCAGCATTTCGTGGTCTATTTCTTTCTTCTCTTTCAGTTAGGAAATAAAACGTTCCACTAATTCATGTCTGAAAAAAGATCCTAAACAGACACAGCAGAATGTAAAACCGCACACCCAGGTTGGTCCTTATGTAGTTACTTACAGTCTTTTTGCAATATGTCTCTTTAATATGGCCAAGTTGGCTGACTATTACAGTGTGTATGAAATCCAAGCGCAACAGAATTCTGCGGGCCCAGCTATAGCAGGCTGGGCAAGCTGCAGGAGAGACCCACGGTCTGGATGGACACCCTGCCAGGGAGACCCACCTTCTGGAGCTCAGGACAGCCGTGCCTCTCTTGTATTGTCCTCCCTGCAGTCCTCTGGGTCTCGGACACCCGCCGTGTTTTTATGCTTTCCTCGTGAACCCGTTGAAAGCTCTCTCTGTTTCATCTTGCTTTGCTGAAGAGAACTCTGCAGTTGGCCAGATGATTCACCCAGTTCATTACTGAGGTCTGTTCTGATACTTTATTTCGTGAAGATCACTTTTACCGATGATCAGCCGTGGCAGGCAACTGCACTCGGCATCTTCACCTCACGGAAGTGTACAGGAGCCTCCCACCGAACACTGAGAAGGATCGTTAAATGCATTTTACACACAGTTTATTTTCCATCTTTCAGATCCTATGGCCTGCAGAGCTCACACCTCAAACCGCCTCCTGCTCCGATGTGACACCCTGCTGTACGAGATGTCACAGCCTCCTCTGAATCCAGCTGGCACTTGGAGCCGAGCCTCACAATCTCATGTAAAGGTCCTGCTCTTTTTGTAAGCACTGCTGTATTTGACATGGGGTAGTCACAACCTCTGCAAAGTCACACCAAATTCCTATCTCCTCCCACACGATTACTTTTTACCTGCAACGTGACGGAATCGTGTCTGTTGGGCCATCCCGTCAGAGAGGAGGCTGGTCAGATGGGGGATTGGACACCACCAGGGCAAAAACCAGGCAGATCTTCTGCAGGCAGTGTGATGGCTGGAGCCATTAGCTCCTGGGGAACTTGGCAAGTCTGTTGTCAAATATTTGCCTTTTGGCGCTTACCCTTATTATAATACGGAGGACAATTGGTCCACCAACATTAGAGGCCCAAGGTGATTTCTGTGTTTATCTATAAACCTCTGTGATGGGAATGGTTGAAGAAGCCATTCCCTAAGCCACTCGACGGGAGTTTCTGATCTGTCCGATATGCAAAGAGAAGGCAATCTCAGCTACAGCCTTTGGGCTGTTAATTAATAATCAATGCTGACGATGGGTTGGGTTTACTAGGAACTAGATTCAGCACATCGTCTCACTACAGGAAGACCACCTAAAACTTCCATCTTCCCTTGTTGTGCTGTAGTAGCCTTCAGCTAGCGAATGAGATTAAACGTTTTATGATTTCACAGTCATGCTTTTAACCTATTTTTCCTCTGGGTATATTTGGGAATCTTTTAATAACTACAAATCATTCACTGAAGACACCAAAAGGTTTGAAGTAAATAGTTATTTAGAGCTTAAGTTTTGCCAAAGCATTCTACAATGCTCCATGCTGAAACAAATTATTATTCATTAGCTATATTTTGCTTCCTCCAGCTCACAGGGTTACTTTTTTTTCTTGTTTATGCCCATTAACTCTTACATATGGTAATCTTTAACACAAAATGAAATCGTTATGAAACCTGCTCATGATCTGCTGTCAGTTTGTACATTCTTGTAACGCAGCACCACGGATTTTTTTGTTTTAATCCAGTTCATATGACACCAAGTTAATGAAATAATGATGAGACATAGGGAACCAGAAGTATCTTGCCTGACCCTGTTCTCAGCAGGAGAGTGCACTCGATGCCCCGGTAAGCTGCCTCCCAGCCTGAATTCCCCTGCGATCCCGCGGCAGTTGGCTGTGGGAAGCTGGAGGGCCGTTTCGGTGGCTGATGGCCCACCGCAGAGCATCCCGCTGCCTTCCTGGCCGTGCCCAAGGACGGAAGCTGAAGATCTGTTTCCATAGTGTGGTCCCATAGACTAAACCGTCAAGCTCATGCTGCATGAGCCCGAAGAGGGGTCGCGCCGAGTTTTCCTGAGCCTGGCATCCCCTTTCTGGATGAGGAAGGACAAGGTGGGGGGGACAGCGGGACACAAGGCTCTGGGCGCATCGGGTGCCTCTGGCACAGGTGCCCGGCCGAGCTGCAGGAGCCGCGGCTGCTCCGGCTGCGGGGCTGAGTCCGTCTGGAGCCCGCTGAGCCCAACGCGCTGGTTCTGCTAGCGCTGGTCCCACGGGGAGCTGGGCAGAACGTGGTATGGAAAGGGGCTCTTCTTCCCCGCTGCCACACGCAGGCAGTCCCACCTGGAAAGGCAGGGCTGTAGCGGGTAAACGCACTGGCCCTGGGGGTGCCAGGAGACAAAAAAACTGCTAATTGCCTTTCTGGGGTTCAGGGTTTTTTTTTTCCTTGTTACTAGTTTTTGTCTTCAGATTGGTCCAGAACAAAAACATTAATGAGGAGTGGTTTGTCTTAACACAGGTATTACTTCTGCGATAAGCTCATTCTTTTTCAAGTCTATACATTCGTACTTGTTACCTGCCATGGTTAGTCTTCACCTCTGGTAAAATTTTTGAAGGAAGCTATAGGCCTGAATTTGAATTTCAGTATGAAAAATGTATTCCAAGCTCCTGAGCAGCTGTGCTCAACATCTGTCGGTTGCAAACTGGGGATGGTGCAAGCGCTGGGACCAGTAGAGCTGCAGGTGGGGGGTGAAATGCTGACCCTCAGGTGGACGTTTGTTTAGACAACACTAAAAGCCCTTAACTTTAAAAAAAAAAAAACACAACAACTATAGCTGCTTGAATAGGACATTTCACCCTGCTTACATTTGCTGTATTATTTCTAACTTTAGGTGCTTTGCACTGAATCAGAATCTACTACAGAATAGTATTTCCAGAGCCTAACTGTATTGGCACAGTAATTTCAAATACTTTGAAGACATACGACTTGTGAATTAAAACCACTACTTATTTTGTGGCTGTGAATTACAGTGTGTTTCAAGGATATACGTGAAAATGTTTATTTTTCTATTGTACTGTGATTTTAATATTGTTGAGTAGGTTTAATTTTTGTGTAAATACTAGTGAAATTTGACTGCAATGTCTGCAGAGACAGTGCTACTTGGTATTTAAGCTCAGGTTATGTAACTGCTTTAATTAAATAGTAGTAAAAAAAATCCCCTTATTTGTCTATAATTTTAATGAATAAAAAGATTTTGTTTTTTAATAAAGCACGAGGTTGTTTGCATGTACATTTACTGTTAGGCATGGCTTTTGAAGTCGTAACTATTTTTAGTGGCAGCAGAACTGCAGCCACAGAGTTACTGGCACTGTACCTAGCAACCTCACTTTGAAACCGCTCCAATAAAATTATGAAACCCTTTTGCTGCCTTTTGTATTATTGCAATTAATTCATGTTTCCAGGTGATTCTTCAGGCAGCGCTATGTACTTAAAAGCAGATAATAAAAGGTTTGCAAGATATATAAAGTTTAAAACCTTGCGAAGAACCAGGCGGATCAACTGAGAATCAAAAGAAGTGAGTAAATGAATGATGCTTCGTCTTGTAGGATTTGAGGGGACAGCATGTCCGCCGGTGCAGGTGAAT